TACAGGTATCTATTAATAGAGATGGAAGATTTTTCTGCTTTTTTTTCCCCTGGCAGAGCTTCAAGGATGTCAGGCAGGCACTCCACCACTGAGCTACTATTCAAGCCCCTGTGGTCGCTTTATGTCAACTTTGGATATGATTAAGTATTTTGTAAATAACAGGCCAATTCCAGAAAATTCAAGATTCCAGAAGAGAGAAAATCTAAAGACCTAAAGGACAAGTTAGGCTACTCATCTTGACTCAGTAAACGTTTTACTTAAATGCCACCCCAACCTTACCCTGTCATTTCTCATGAATTCTGAACATTAGTTCCTTTGAGTCATGTCATCCCAATTTTGGTTCAGACGGGAAGCAAGCTCGTCATGCTTCAAACAGTGACTTTTCCTTCCATTCTCTTAAACACTCTTAAATTAGACTGTAAGCAACTTAGAATGTCCCTGAGCTACAGTAGCCTCTGACTGGGCCATCAGGCCTTGACACAGTGAGTTATACTGGCCTTGGGGAGAGCTGGGCACCTATGAGATGATAAAGCCCTCCTTTTAGGAAAATAACATAACTAAGCAACCAAGCTTGAACACTAAGGAATTTCTCTGTTGTCTTTTTCATCTGACTTCAAATCCCAGGGGAGGAGTCAACAACCTTGCTGCCCACCTCTTGATTAAATTGCTCTCAGGTCCTGTTCCTTTCCTCCCTCTCAGAAGGTGTTTAGTTATTCAGGTTTTGGCTTTAGCCTGGAAGAGGCTGTTCTCCTCCCCATGCTGTGGATGTTCTGGGGTCAATGGGGGTGGGGTAAGGGAGGGGACAGGACACAACAGTTCTCTAGTGTTCTCCATTGCTTCATCAGGAAAAGCTTGTGGATGATCAGGGCTTTTGCTCTGCTCCCAACTTTCCAGCCAGGGTTGTGAGGTTCTAGGTAGCAGGTGCCTTCCTCTCCATCCCTCCGTGATGAGGGGGAGGCCATGCACTCTCTGCCCTCCCCAGTCCCAGGCAGGCATGGGCTGGCAAGCAGGGGGACAAGTAATCGTACCATTGAAGTAGCTTGGGGTGTCAGTGGGCCGACCCCGGGCCAGCACCATGTTGCAGCTGGAGCTCCGTGCCTCGGCCTGGCTGTTCCATGAGTGTACGCCGGAACTCAGGGTGTCTCTTGAGCTCTGAGAGGCCTTTGATGGGTTCTGAACACAAAAGTTGGGCACAGACTCAGCCCCATGGTCAGGGAGTTGTCACTGGCCTTAGCTTCCTTGGATCTCCTTTGGGGTTAGGAGCTGCTTGCCCTAGGCTAGGAGGGGAAGGTGTAGTTCCATAGGGGATCAAACCTGCCCGTCACTCTCTCTAGTAGCTAAAACCTTTCCTGACTTCACAGGTGTGCTAAAGATGTACTAACTCACTTCAGGGAACCAGCATCCTAGTGAGGACCCCTCTAAGAAATAAGGGGTCCTCGGGCTGGAGAGATGGCTCAGAGGTTAAGAGCACTGGCTGCTCTTGCAGAGGACCCTCGTTCAGTTCCCAGCACCCACAACCATCCTTAACTCTAGTTCCAGGGGATCTGACATCCTCTCCTGGCCTCCTTGAGCATTGTATGCACATGGTGCACTTACATACATGCAGTCAAAACACTCATACACACAATAAAAATAAAGAAATAAGAGGTGCTCTCATCACCCTTCCTCTGCCCACCATTCATACCACACCCTTGCCCCAGACCGACACAAAGCCACCTGGTCACCAACTTACCTTTTCACTGTCATCTGACAGTGAGAGGCTGTCAATGCTGAGGCATGAGAGAATCTGTTCCTGTTCCTCCAGAGAAAAAGGCTGGGACAGGCTGTTGAGAAACAGTTCTGTGGGGAAGAGTGCAAGATAGCTGTGAAGGGCTGGCTGAGATGCCATGTTACCAGGGTTCTTCCTCCACAGCCCGCAGGAGCTGGCCTGCCAAGGAAGGGCTTGGAAGAACCAGACCTCAGTGGGAGGTCACAGCTGGGTGCCCTACCTATCTCCAGCTGCTGTAGTTCCAGCTCTGGGAAGGTTGCCCTCCGCTCTGGGGAGCTGGGGCTCTTGACAGGGGTCAGGTCCAGTGAGGACAGAGGCAGGGGTTCCCACATGCCAGACTCTTCTTTGCTCAGGTTCAGGGCTGGGGCCTTGTTCTGTTCTGGAGGTTCTGGCAGTAGAGGAGGCTGAGGTTTAGGGGACCCATCTGTGCTGTCCTTGGCTGGTGAGTGCTCCCTTGGTGGGGCATGCAGGGTCTGGTGGCAAGTGGCTTGGTCTGGGGGTGGAGGTCTCGGTTCTTTGTATTCGCCCTTCCAAGGGCTTTTCAGGCCTCCCACTGTAAGAGAGAAGGCATCCAAGGTGAGGTGGAAACATAGGCATTCAGATACTGTCCTAGGAAGGAATGGCCTCTCTGGGCTGGAGAAGGGTTAGGGTCAAGCAGAGGGAAACTGCTGGGGATGTTCCTGGGAGATGGCACTGTGATCTGCAGAAGAGGCTCTTCAAAAGATAGTCCCATTAAAACAGGACTATATTTTTGTATCTATTCCATTTTCCTTCTAGGTATCAGAACCAAATCCCCAAGCTCCAGAGAACTCTGGGAGTAAAGAAAGCATTAAAAGTGGCTGTGAGGGTGCTGAGGATGTAGCTGAGTGGTAGAGTGCCTGCCTAGCTGGGACAGAAACAAAGAAAAACACCCTCAGAGCAACATGACTCAGAGGTCCAGGTCAAGTGGCCTCTCTGGCCCATTATTCTTCTCAGCTCTATCCCTAGACCTCGTCATTTCTCTGGGGTGAGACAGTTTATTTAGCCTTGGGGGTATCCCTACCATTGTGACTACAGCCTGCTGTGAGGGCAAGCAAGGTCTCTTCCATTTATTTCCCTTTCATTCATTTAACTGCTGTTGTTCCTCTTCCTACTTTCTGACATTCTAATCCATGGTTTTCTTTTCTTTTCTCTTCCCTTCCCTTCCCCTCCCCTCCCCTTCTTTTCTTTTCTTTTTTCTTTTCTTTGGAGAGAGGATCTTGCTTATGTAGCCCAGACTGGCCTCAAGGTTGAGGATCCTATCTTAGTCTCCCAAGTGCTGTGACCACAAACACACAGCACTCTCATGCCTCAACCCACGTGTCAATTTTAATCTAACTCCATCCTTATTTAAAAACTCTTATTTTTATTTTTTATGTGTATGAGTATATTGTTTGTGTGTGTGTTAAGTGCACTGGTGTCACGCAATGCCTGCAGAGATCAGAAAAAGGTGTTAGATTCCCCTGGAACTGGAGTTACAGACAGTTGTTAGCTGCTATGTGGATTCTGGAAACAGAATCCAGGTCCTCTACAAGAGCAGCCAGTGCTCTTAACCACTGAGCCATCTCTCCAGTCCCTTAACTCCAGCTTTAAAAAATTAAAAAAAAAAAAAAAAAAAAAAGATGACAGGGTTTAACTATGTAGCCTTGGCAGGCCAGGAACTTACTATGTAGGCCAGGTTGGTCTTGAACTCACAAGAAATCTACCCCTCTGCCTCCTGAGTACTAGGGTAAAGGTGTGCACAACTATACCTAGTCCCTTTTATTATTTTTAGAAAATGTCTCACTCTATAGCCCAGGCCCAGAATTTACAGCAATACTTTTGCCTTGGCCTCCTAAATGCTTGGATTACAGGCAGGAGCCACCACACCCAGCTTAAAATGTGTTGCTTTATTTATTGACTTTGTTGTTGTTGCTTTTGAGACAGGGTCTCCCTGTAGCCCCAGCTGGTCTGGAACTCACTATGTAGACCAGACTGGCCGTGATCTCACAGAGATCTGCCTGCCTCTGCTGGGATTAATGGCGTGAGCCACCATGCCTAGCTATTTATTGATTTTTAAGTTTACAATAGAGTTCTTATGCTCCAGGCCTCCTGTGGGTTTTCATCTGGCACCACCACCTACAGCTTTTGGATCAATTCCTGAGTGGCTGTTAAGTGCTGGGTGGTAACCCATTCCCATCCCTGTCTCTGCTCTCCCAGGAGGGACCCTTGATCACTCCCAAGTACACTCTAACCAACAAGGCTGTAGTCACTATGAGTGGAAGGGCTGGGTCCAGGTGTGCCAAGGTCTGTCTGAGTACTACCAGGTGCCCTCAAGCATGGCTGCAGCCTTGTCCCTGTACCCTTCGCAGGGCCCAGGCAACCTGCTGCCCCACAGCCCCAGCAGCCCTGGCTGCTACCAACTTGCTGGTTCTATACAGTTGAGTGGGTGGCTTGTTCTCCATTCTGATTCACCTTTCAATGTCGCAGTCCCTCCTCTTCCATCTCTCAAGCATGGCCTCTGCTCTAGCACACTCAATCACCTCAACCTGCCCTGTACCCCAAAGCTGGATCATCCTCATACTTCAGATGGAGAGGGCTCTAAGAGGCCAAGTGCCTTATTCTTGACCACCTCCTGTTCTGCTCTTCCCTTTGCTCATGGTTGTCTGCCTAGGCAGACAAGGCTCTTACCTTGCTGCAGTGCCTGGCTCACCTTCCCTCGGAGCTCCATGGCAGATGCTCGGTGGATAGGCTCTTTCCTGAGCCCCTCTTGGATGGCTTGGGCTGTGAGGGGTGCACAGGAGGGTGGAATCTCCCGTACAGGTGGAGGTTCACTGGCAATCTGAGGACCAAAAGACCACATGCAAGGCCCGCTTCCTCCTTTTTTCCCAGAATCCATCCTTCTGTCCTTACTCTTGGCCAACCCCTTCCCCCACTCTAGGCTGGGGGTCTACTATAAGAAGGTAGGACTGGGTTATAGCTAGGGCAGAGACTCTGCTTAGAAAAGGAAAACAAAGATCCAAACAGACCAAGGCAGAGCCCCATGATACCCATATCCTCTAGGCCCAATTGGACAGGAGGCTAGGAGGCTAGTGGAAATGGCCCAGTGGACAGGCAGAAGAGAGTTCTGTCGTGTCCTGTTCTGAAGAGGGCCCCCTGCTCACATCTGCCATGGAAGAGTAGCAAAACAGACCTTTACAAGCCTGATCTTGAGTCCATGGCCCTGGGGGCCTCCCCTCACTGGTTTGAGGCATCACTGACCTTGAGGCAGAGTGGGCCTCGGAAGTACTGAGTCCAGGGATGGCAGCCATTGAGCATGTGGAGCATCATGCAGCAGCTGCTCCAGATGTCCACCTTGGCATCACAGGGCTTCCCCATCACCACTTCTGGGGCCATGTGTGTTTCTGTGCCAGGGATGTAGTCACCTGAGAGAGAAACATTACCTATGAACTCGGTGCTCACTCCATAAACTTTCTGAAGTACACAAGGTAATGCACTTTAAATTAAAATTTATTGGGGCTGGAGAGACGGCTCAGCAGTTAAGAACACTGACTGTTCTTGTAGAAGACCCAGGTTTGATTCCCAGCACCCATATGGCAGCTAACAACGGTCGGTAACTCTAGTTCCAGGGAATCCGACAGCCTCTTCTGTCCTCTGTGGGCACTGTATGACATGGGTGCACTTACCTACATGTAGGCACTACACTCATGCACATAAAAAAATAAATTTAAAATGTTTAAAAAATTATTATCCTGTGTATATGGGCATGTGTACATGTGTGAATATGTGCCATGGTGGAGTTCAAAGAACAACTTTGTAGAGCTGGTTCTCTCCTTCCACCTTTACATGGGTTCTGGGGCTCGAACTCAGGTCATTAGACTTGCAGCAAATACCTTTACCTGCTGAGCCATCTCATCAACCCATTTTTTTGTTTGTTTTTTTCTGAGTCTCATCTGTAGCCCAGGCAGGTCTTAAACACACAGCAATCTTCCTACTTCAGCCTCCTAAGTGCTGGGATTACAGGCGTGAGCCATTATGATGTCCATCTTGGTTTTATTTCTCAGGTAACAGTTTAGGAATGTCACAGCAATAGCACATAGATACACAATAGTAAGTAAAAAAATATAATAAACAAAACTCCACAAACAAAAATAGAATTCTGTTTTGTTTTTGAGACAGTCTCCCTGTTGCCCTAGCTGTTCTGGAACTCACTATGTAGAACAGGCTAGCCTGGAGCTCAAAGAGATCAGCCTGCTTCTGCCTCCCACTGCCTCTCCAGCATTGAGATTAAAGGCATGTGCCACCACACCAGGATTAAAAAAATTTTTTTTTGATTTAGTTATTTTCATTTTATGTGTATGAACGTTTTGCTTTTATGTATGCAAGTTTACCCGTAGCATGCAATTCCCATGGAGGCCAGAAGAGGGAGCTGCATCCTCTGGAACTGGAGTTACAAATGGTTGTTAGCTGCCATGTATGTGCTGAAACTGAACCTGTGTCCTCTGTAAGAGCAACCAGTACTTTTAACCACGAAGTCATCTTTCTAGCCCCTTGTTTTTGTGTGTATGAGTATTTTCCTACATGTATGTATGTGTACCATGTGAGTGCAGGATGCCCTCAGAGGCCAGAGGAGGGTATAGATCCCCTGGAACTAGAGGTACAAATGATTGTGAGCCACCATGTAAGTGCTGGGAACCAAACCTGGGTTCTCTGCAAGAGCAGCAAGTGCTCTTAACTGCTGAGTCATATCTCCAGCCATCAAAACAGAAAATCTGTATGTATCAAATTAAAATCTGTATGTAATTATTAAGCAGGCAAACAATAGCTAACATATATAATGAGGCAGATGTTAACTCCTCCCCCCAGGTGAACTACCTAGGCAAATAACTTTCCACTGAGCACACAGCCCAGCCTTCTTTTCTTTCTTTATTTTCAGACAGGGTGTCACTAAGTTGCCCAGGCTGGCCTTGAACTTGCAATCCTCCTGCCTTAGGCTCTCAAGTAGCTAGGATTACAGGCCTGTGCAATCAGGCTTGGCTAACACTTCTTTTTAAAGATAAGAGTCTCATTGTGTAGCCCTGGTTGGTCTGGAACTCACGAAGGAGATCAGGCTGGCCTTGAACTCACAGAGATTTGCCTGTCTCTGCCTCCCATTGTCTCCCAAGTGCTGAGATTAAAGGCGTGCACCACCATGTTCAGCTTAACAGTGTTTTTTATATTGGTACTTCGAACTTTAATTTTTTTCTGTATTCTACAAAAAGGATATTAAAAGGATATTATTTTATAATGAATTATCAAAAAGAACCACTAAAGTAAATTCAAGGTAGATGTCAGATGTCCAAGTTCAACTTACACCTTCAGAATCATCCACACAGTCCTGTAACAAATGGTGTTGAGCAGCCTGAGAGTCCCTATCCAAAATGCAAGAGTATAAGTATTCTGGATTTCATTTTTTTTTTTAATTTAGGAGTATTTCTAATATACAATGGGATAGCTTAGAGAGGAGACCGAAGTCTGTGTAGAATACTGACATGTGATATCAGCCATATACACATAGCCTAAAGGTAACTTTATACAGCTTTAGTGTGTCTTAGTTTTAACTGCTGCCTCAAAAAGCTGCAGTTTTGGATACTTTTAGATTAGGGATATGGAGCGTCTAATAGATTATTCTAACAGATATTTTTCCTTTGGTCAAAATAGACCCATTTTATGTTGAATGCTCTAAATGAAAAAGGCAGGGCACAAAACTGAATGAAAATGGTCTTAATGAGGCACGGGAAAAAAGTTCATAGAATTCTGTAACTTATGTGTGATTATTTCTTTGGGCAAGAGGAATAAAGGAGACTCCCCACCCCCCTTTTTATGGCAAATATTTTACAATGGGAATGAATTATTCTAACAATTAGAAGGCAGGGTGTGATGCACTGAACTATTCATAATTGACAAGACATGGAATTAGCCTAGATGTCTATCAACTGATGAATGGGTAAAGAAAATATGGTATATATACACAATGGAATTTTATTAAGCCTTAAAGAAGAAATTATGTCACTGGCAGGAAAATGGATGAAACTGGAGATCATCATGTTAAAATAAGCTAGACTCAGAAAGACAAAAACCACGTTTATACATTTTCTTCATATGCAGAATCTAGATTTGTTTTAAAAAAGTATTTATTATTTTTATTTTATGTGTATGAGTGTATTGCCTGCACCTATACAAATGCACCCATGCTGTGCAATGCTCACAGAGATCAGAAGACGTCAAATCCCCTGTTGTGGACAGTTGTTAGCCACCATGTGGGTCCTGGGAACCAAATCCGGGTCCTCTGCAAGAGCAGTCAGTGCTCTTAACTGCTGAGTCATCTCTCCAACCTCCTAGATTTTGTTTTTCAAAGACAGGATCTCATGTAACCTAAGCTGGCTTAGAACTTGACACTAGCTAGGATGACCTTGAACTTTTGATACTCCTGCCTCCACCTGGGATAATTATAGGTATGTTGGGATCTGAACCCAAGGCTTCAACGCATGCCAGACAAACACTCTACCAAATGAGGTATATTCCCAGCCCTAGAATCTGATTTAAATATAAATAAATAAATGTGTGTGTGTGTGTGTGTGTGTGTGTGTGTAATACAAAGGTAGAAGGGAGATTATGAAAACAGGAGGTTTGAAGATAGAGGAGAGGGAACAAGAGAATGTAATTGGGGAAACAAGACTAAATATGGCGTGTTTTCTCTCACATACAGAATCAACATTTAACTATGTACACTATAGTTATTAACAACAACACAACAACAAATCAAACACAAAACAGGAAGTTAAAAATATGCATTTCAGGGGCTGGAGAGATGGCTCAGTGGTTAAGAGCACTGGCTGCTCTTGCAGAGGACTCTGGTTTGGTTCCCAGCACCTACATGTTTGCTAACAAGCATCTGTAACTCCAGTTCCAGGGGATCCAACACCCTCTCCTGGCTTCTGTGGGTATTTACACACACATGACACTCAGAGACACACACATCCACATAAATAAAAATATTAAAAAAAAACACATTCCACCAGTTATAGAACCTATGGCAGGTTCTTTAGCCTTTCTGTGTAAGGTAGAACTGTCAAGGAGCATCTGACATTCACTACTGCATTTATACACAAGAGCCCTGCAATACCCCTGACGGCTGTGGGGTTGAATTCTACTGGGAGACATAAAGTAACCATACTCTTTATTCCCATATGGAGAGCAGGGAAGTGCAAGGCCAATACTTAGGGAAGGCCATTGGCTATTGTGATTGTGAGGTGCAGACTGGGGCCTCACCTGTGAGTAAGGATTTCCCTAGGCCATCTGGTTGCAGGCACAAGGCATGGCCAAAGTCACAGAGGGCTGCTCGGCTCCCATCGCTGGACAGGAGCACATTGTCAGCTGCAGGCAGCACCCAGCAAAGGGAGGAAGGAGAACAGGTGAGTCACTTCAGTCACAAGCCCACCCTGGCTGAGTTTGGCTTGGCCTCCAGTGAGGTAACTTTCTGGCCAAAACTACATGGCAGCAGCTGTTTCTGATTAGTTCCGTTAGTCATGGAAGAAGGGAGGGGTATTAGTTCAGGTTAGAGGCAGGCAACAGGCAGGATCCCCAGGGGTGGGGATGAGCAGGGTCTACTCCTGGGGACACCACCACTCTGCTCTGCTGCCCCACCCTCTCCCAGGGGTCATCAGTGGGTAGGAGGCTTGATCTTCAGTTTTGTATGGGCACCAACCCTGGAAACTCCAGTGTCAGGCTGAGGCCTGGAGAATATCACTCCCCACCCACAAGGCACAGGCACAGCCCTGTCAGCTGACTCAGGCACTGCCACTGGACACAACCAGGCAGGCCCAGAACCAGGAGGAAATCAGAAAGGAAGGGATGGGGAAGAGCTGGTTGAGATGACAATGGGGACCAGTTCTCACCTTTGACATCACCATGCAGAATCCTTCGTATATGGAGATATTCTAGCCCCTCCAGGGCCTGGCCAAGGTAGTAAAGGGCCCGGTCTTCTGGCAGACAGCCCTTTTGCTTTATGAGCTGGCCTAGTGAGCCACCTACAAAGTCAACAGACAGTTTTTATGTGGGGCTTTCCCAGGCTTCCACGCAAGCCAAGAGCAAGAGCAAAGGGCAGGTAGTATGGGAAGCAGGACGTCACAGGGCTAAGAGGTTACATGCGGATTGATTAGAGGCCAAGGTCAATCTGGGCAAGACTTGGAGTAACTCCTGGCCTTGAATTTTGAGAGGGAAAAAAACCCAACAAAATCAGGACCTGTCTCCTTACCTTCTAGCAGCTCCATGAAGATGTTGATCCATAGACCTTCTCTCACAGCTCCATAGAGAGGTACAATTCGGGGTGAGGTCAGTCCAGCACAGGCCATCAGTTCCTCTGCCCGAAACACTTCGACCCGCACCTGAAAGACCCACAGGAGCTTGAGTCCAGGTGAAGTGGGCAGGTTGGTATCTGCATCATGTTGGGACTCTTGATATTCCACCCGCAGAGGCTGCTGATGCTCCTAAGTGGGTCTAAACTGTGTACCCATGCTTAAGCCCTTGCTGTCAGACACAAGTTCCACAAGACTAACTGTGTAAAAATAGCCACAGAAAAGTATATTCCTTATCCGGCCTCTGGCATGCTGCCCACCCTCAATCAGCCAAACACACATTCTTTCCCCTAGTTTAACTATCTGGAAAATCTTTAGGACATGGGGCCTTCCTAAATCTTTTTTTTTTTTTTTTTCCTGAGTCAGGGACTCATTATGTAGCTTGGGTTGGCCTTGAACTTGCAATCCTGCCTCAGAATCACAAGTGCTGGGATAATAGGTGAGTGCCACCATGCCTGACTATGTCAGGTGCCTCTGGATCCTCAGCAACCCTTGTAGCAATTTTATTATGTCTTTGGGGGGTTATTTTGCATGTCTATGTATGTGGTGCATGTATATATACGTGTGTGTACAGGTGAAGGCTGAAGTTGACACTGGCTGTTTACCTCAACGGCTCTTCACGTTACTTGTTGAGGTAAGGCCTTATGTTGAACCTGGAGTTAATTCTAGCTAGCCAGCTTGCCCAGGGAACTTCTGTCTCTGCCTCCAGAGTGCTGGAATTATAGGTAGCTGCCATGACTGCCCAGCTTTTATGTGGGTTCTGAGGACCCAAACGCCAGTCCTCAAGCTTGTGCAACAAGCATTCTATCTATCAAACAATCTCTCCAGCCCCAATTGTTTATTTCTCAGAAGACTAAACTATCCTCAGACATATATTTATATTATTGTTATTCTTTAGGTATTTCCCTGGCATCTGGGTACATAGAAGGCTTCTGGGGAGGGGTTGGCCAATGCCACTCCTGCCATGGACTTGAAATCTTTGGTCATCCACTTTCTGTGGCGACCAGCAGCTAGGAATGGCGGGAAGCAGCAGGCCTTGGATACAGCCACCTTGTGCTTAGAACCTGGCTGGGCCATTCATAAAAAGGCTGCTGGTTTCCCATCAGCCATTTCCACATGTGAACAGCGGGGACACTGGCTGCCGCTCCAGGGCAGTGTGAAGATTCAGCGAGATGGGATCTAGCTCCATGCTCAGTGACTAGTGGCCACTTAGGAAGAGATGGTTCCCCACTTTCTCCTGCCTACACAAGGGAGAGCAGTAGCTTACTAAATACTTCTACTTGCTGGCTGCTGATGGTTCTCTGGAGGGGCAACGCCAGGGGGCGACAGTGGTACCAGTCAGGCCTGGAGATGTGTCAGGCCCAGGGCTTTGTTTGGAGACTTGCTGATTTGGCAAACGGCTCTGCAGATGAGGGGGTTTGGATTTTTGCCTGTCAGTGGAAAATGCCTCTCTTCTGGTTACTTAAAGAATATCTAATTTGGTTAATCATATGAACTTTGACTTTTGATCAGTTCTTCCTCTAAAAGGCCACTGAACTTGACTGAGACCAACTCACCTACAGGACTTTTACTAGCAAGCATCATTAAACTAACTACTCCCGAAATGTGAGATGAGGCACCCCAGGGTTCCACAGAGAATTCAGAAGGGTGCCACAGGAAACTGAAGGAAACAGGAATGTTCACCATTTGTGAGGGGCTACTTGTTTGAAATGGCCCAGGTTCCACACTGGACCACATTCCTTCTGCTGATATACATCTTTAGAAAGTGAGGGCTTTGGAGGTGGTTGTGACAAAGAATACTTTGGGCAGTGGAATGTGGAACAGGAAATGAAGGTGGTATTGCTCAATCTGATTTTGAGGTTTGAGAAACTGTAGAATGCCCAACAAGGCCCACCATCCCAACTGTAACTTGGTTAGGAATGGAAGGAAGCTGGGTGTGGGTGTGGTGGTTCACGAGTTTGAGGTCAGTAAGTTTTAGGCCAGCCTGGGCAACACAGTGAGAGTCTGTCTCAACAAACAAAAACCTTTTTTTCTTTCAACTTATATGACTTGTTTTTCAAATGGCTAAGTTTTAGCATATACCTAACCATTTAATAAATGGAAATACAACAAAAAATATTAGTAAGTGGTACCTGTCAAATGGCATTCTCTAAAATCGGGACTGGGTACCATGAGGATCTGAGTAAGATACTAAGGCTGGTGAAGCAGGCTGATGTGGGACCCTCTGCTAGAATTTGAGTCCCTGAGGGTTCCAGCTAAATCATTTCCAAAACTGATGGGTGGGAAACTTCAAATAACGAGGTGATTTAGTAGTCCAGGTGAGCCTGAGGCAAGGCGAAGGTCTGTCCTATGGAGTCAGATAGAGAAAGCCCTTCCTCCCTGCTCCCCACAACCTCCCAGTGCAGGCCAGACAGCATGTGACCACCTTTCCACTCTGGATTTCAGCATTCTCATGCTAAAGTGTTGGTGCTGGACTGTGATGGGGAATGGGAACAGGAAGTAGCATTTATGGCCGACTGACATATGCCAGTCGCTGTTCAGCGTTAGTTCTTCACATCTTACAGCATCCTGTGAGGGGTGGGTCAGCATTCCCATTTCACGGATGAGGAAGCAGAGGCAGAGGCACAAGGAACTTGCCTAAAGTCACTGAGAACAGTGTCACAGACAGGATTTGGGTTGAGGAAGCCTGTCCCCAGAGCTGCCAGCTGCCATTCTGCTAGAAGAGCTTTCTAGGCTTAGCCTATACTCCTGGCCATTTCTCCCAGGAACCAGCATCTCCAGGGAGAAGTGCAGACAGCAATCTGCATTCTGAGTGCAGAAGCCACTTCCCTCCACTTCGCTGCCCTGATGACTGCTTTTCCATCCCTGAAACCCTGCTTGCTTCCTTCAGTACACTTAAGTTAATCTGTCAGTAAGTGGGATACAAGCTCTTCTAAGGATTCCAGAAGTAAAAACTGCCAAAGTGACTAACATAGGATGGAGGACAAAGACGTCTGAGGATTAGCTGGTCCCCCATTTCCTCATCTCCTTTCAGACTGTCCTTCCTTGATTCTAGCTGCTTCACCTGCAAACCACATAAAAGCCTGTATCTGTTTAAATGCAGTTTGATCCCTGGAATCCACATAGAAAGCCAATGCATATCTGTAATCCCAGCACTCCTAGAGTGAGAAGGGAAGCAGAAATAGGAGGATCAACTGGGCCTGGGTTTGAATTCCAACACCCCCTGCCCCAACAGACAGACAGACAGACACAGACAGACAAACAGACACACACACAGACACACACACAGACACACAGTGCATTCTGCCTCAAAACAAGGTGGAAGGAAAGAACGGACTCTCAAAATTGTCTTCTGACCTCCACATGTGTACCATGCCACACTCACATACATGAAATAAGTAAACAAATCTTTAGGACTCCAGTTCCTTTAGGTCACCAACATGGAATGGATTCCACATCTCTGTCCCCAGCCTCTGTACAGTGTCGCACAGCAGGTGCTCCATGACAGCTGGTTTGACCTGGCCAAGGCCACGCTATTCCAGATTTGTGACTGAGCCAAAGGGAGGCTCCCAGAATTCCATGGTTGAGCCAGACGTCTTAAAACAAACAGTTCTTCACTCTCATTGTGGCAGACTGCAATTCTCCTTTGAGATTCTGCTAAGTGATATGGTCCTTCCTCTAAACTGTGTCTATGGCCACACACACTCAACTTTCAGATCACGTTCTAGGAATTCAAAGATCCTATAAATCTTCCCTCTGACTGGAGAAGACCTTACACATTGGCTGCTAAAAAGCATGAGAGTTCTGTGTATACCAAGGAGAAACTCTGTCTAGGAGACATATTCCATGGGGGAAAAGTCTGTGTAGAGTAATTTCTAGATCATAAAAGAGATAACCAAGTTCATATATAAAAAGTCCAACAAGATTTACAACAAATGGTATTTTCCTCTGAGAATGAGATTTGGGAACAGAAAAAAATTTTGCTTTGTTTGGTATCATTTGAGTGAGCCTTTGTTTGCAATGAAAGGATCAAGGAGGGGTCAGTGAGGTGGCTCAGCAGACCCAAGTTTGCTCCCTGGGACCCACATGGCAGGATACACGATTAGCAAAAGTTGTTTTCTGACCTCCACATACTGCACTGATGGGTGTGTCCATATATGTACACAAATAAATGTAATACAATTTTTATTTAAATGAAAAAAGATCAAAGATTTAAAAAATCTGCATTAAGACCTGGATTTGTGGCCAATTAATGTGTGACCTAAGACCATGGATGTTCTAGAAGGAAAAACAACAGAGTGCTGACATCATGTAACATCTCCTGCCTGGGCTCATCCCCAGGAACATTAGAGGGACATGGGCAGTCTGACCTCTGAGCCCTAGGCTACTTCTCCTGTCCCTACTACCTATCCCTTTATCAGGGAACTTTTCTTGTGGTGTCAGGATTTGAACCCAGGGTCTAATGCTTGCTAGGCGAGTGCTCTACAAAGAGCTACATTCCCCAGAGCAAAGAATTGTTTCTCATATGGTTTTCCTGACGAAAATCCTACAAACTGAATGCCTAACCCCTTCCATTAAGAGAAAGGTTGGGCTGTTTGGCCTACTACCAGCTGTGTGGGCTGCCTCTAAGTCATCCCCACTGGGCGCTCCTAGTGGGAAGGAGGTGGGAGCTCTGAGTGTGGACAGGCTGGGAAGTCCAGGCCTTGCTCCTGGAGTGTTCCTGAGACTGCCCTGAGTGCAGGACATGAGAAATGTATTTGGGTTGTTTACCTTGTTGCCTGGGACTCGGAGGACTTTAGCAGAGAAACAGCTGAGAAGCCTGGTGACTAAGCTCCCAGCACTGGGCATCCGTCTCTAGGACACTTCACACTCTCTCACCCCCTCCTGCCGCCTCTCAGAAAGGACAGCTGAGCCTTCTCGGGTGGCCTGGGGAGGGGAACTGCAGCTGAGGAGGTCAGGCACGTGGCCTTGGCATCCATGCTGGCAAGAACTCAGTGTGTGTGTGCGTGAGGGCTGGAGAGGGTGGCACTTGCTCATTCCACAGTCTGTGTGAAATTTGAGGTAAAACCTACAGACTGTTCTTTCTCTTATCCCACCACTCTGAGGTTCAAATTTTTGATCTACCACAGCCTGGCCCAAGTACAAACCTGGAAAATCAGGCTTATTCAACACCCTGGCTGGTACCTCATTCCCAAATGGATGGCCATGACAGCAGTGGCGGGGCCATTCCACATAGGGCCTGAGGGTGCTGGGCCTATCTGGTCTGACTACTTCGTCTCTTTTTGGGGAAAAGGGTGCCTCTGATATTAGCCAATTGAAACATGGCTTATTCCACCCTACCGTATGGGCCAGGGACAAGCTGGCTCCCAAGAGAAGAGAGGGGACTTCCAATCAGGGTCTGAGAACAGCTCCTGAAGGGAGCAGGGCTGATACTATCGAGAAGCATGGCTCTGCAGCTGCTGCTCCCACCTGGACTGGACAGGGTGCTGTGGCAGGAGGATCAGTTCTAGGCCTACCTGGGTGGTCTTGGGCAGGCCACAGGGCAGATGAGAGGTAGGAGAGGTGACCTGAGCTTTCTGCCATTCATCGAGACCTTGGGACCAGTCTCCTTTTCCTTCCTCTCATTCTGGCCACTAGGCCAGCTCCTTAATCTTGCTGAGCCATGTTTCCTCAGGCTGTCCTGCCTGCCTCACAGGACCACATTGCACCTGGCCAACAGGAGTCAAGATTTAATTCCCAGTGTTTGGCTTCTTCTTAAGACGCATCTGACAGGTGATTGTTACTGTTCTATACACCTTCTGAGCCAGAAATGGGTGGCTCTACTATATGGCTTAAGGGTTTTCTCGCAGCATGAATTTCCGGAGAACCCAACCATCTATCCAGGTCTGGACTTGCCCCTACAGGCCCTGGCGTCTGTAGTGGCCCAGGCTGTATTCAGACCTGGAGGTGTATGCTCATGCACTGTCTCTCACAGATTCGCATACCAAGGGCAACAAGTAGGCCAGGCCATGTGACAGGCTGTTCCCTTCCAGCTCCAGCTGACCCAGGGCTGCTAGCACTGCCAGCCTCTGCTACCAAGGCAGTCCTGGATGATCATGACTGTCCTTGAAAGACAGCTGGGGTGAACGCAGCAGCCTCTGCATGGCTTCCCTTTCAGCCCTATGGTGTTGTCCCACCTACTGTGTACCTTTTTTTAAAATGGTTTTTTGAGATAGAGTCTCACTTTGTAGTCCATGCTGGCCTCAAATTCATGGAATCCTCTTGCCTTCGCCTCCCAAGTGCTTGGAATTTGGGTGTGAGCCCAGTCCAGGGCCATTTTCGGCAAACTTTGAGACAGGGTCCCCCTGTAGCCCCAGCTGGCCTGAAACCCACTATATAGACCAGGCTGACCTCAATCTCACAAAGATCTGCCTGCCTCTGCCTCCCAAGCGCTGGGAGTAAAGGCATGCACCACTATGACTGGCTTGGCATACCTTTTTGACAGCACACTGGAAGCCTGTCTGCTTGTCCTTCATTCTGTGGACCTCACCGAAGGAGCCTCTGCCCAAACGTGGCTGGTGTGTCACCCAATGGACCTCTTCTCGGTACTCATAATCCACTGGCTTGAGTTTCTAGGGTGGGCAGGAGAGAGAGGGGTTGGTTTCAGTGGCCAGGGGAGCAGAAGGATGAAGGGCTACAGCAAGGAAGCTCTTGAACCAGGGACCTTTACCAGGACTGCTGAGGCTGAATAGTCATAAGCAAAGACACCACCAGGCCTAAGGTCTTCTGAGAACAGGACCAAAAGGGGCTGAGAGGAATAAGAAGGCAAAGGTGATCTTTAGAGGCTGCCACGAGGGCAGGGCTGGATGAGCCCTGTGATGAAAACCTCCCAGGTATATGATTGTGGGACAGAAACAACTGCCAACAACCTTGGTAATACAAAAATGTAACCCAGCAACTAGAAGGTAGAAGACAGAACCATGAAGAAGGGCAGGGGCAAGGGCAATGTTCAAAGTGCACGGACTAAACCCAGAAAGTAAAGCAGAGTATGATCAATTCCAAAGTCACCCATGCAGAGAACTAAAGGAAAAGTGAGGGGAGGGTCAGAGGCTGGGCAGCACCCCGCTGTTTCCAGTATGTTTTTATACAATACACATAATTCAATGATAAGGAAACCAGTTGGAAGAGCTAAAAACAGAGACAGCCAGAGAGGCTGTAGGGAGAAAGGACTGCACTTCATCCTTGTAGTAGTGTGGACTGTGTCCCAGAAAAGCCCATAGGCAGAAGGCTCAGTCATCACCTGTGGCTACAGAAGAGGGCGGAACCTTTGAGGGGCAGGGCCTACTGGGAGGAGGTAGGCCATTAGGGGTGTACTCTTCAAGAGCACACAGGAAACGTCCCCTTCCCTTTCTCTATCTCCCTTCTTTCCAACTGTGATGAAGTCTCCTCCACTAGGTCCTTAGCCATAACATACTATGCAAGGCAACAGGATCAAAAGCCCATCGGGCCAAAACCTCTGAAACTATCAGTCCAAATAAACTTTTCTTCAAGTTTTTTTCTTTATTTTGCATTTTATCATAGTAATAGCTAGCTGCCTGACACAATCCCTAATGAGCAACTTGATTTGTTGCCATAGACATGAATGTCTCTGCTGGTGATGGACATCCCCCAGAGTCTGCTGTACAGAGTGATACTTCCAATAGCAGGCCCCACCCAGAACCCCATCTGTGGCTCCTGGCCTGGGAGGTGGTGGTATAGGTATGTGTACAGGAGTTTAAGGGGTTAGTTACCTCTGTAAGCAAGACTCCCTCGTTGTCCTCAGTTTCAGGGCTGAGTCTCTGGGGCTTAGAGCTGCCTGCTGACCAAGTCTTAGCCAGGCTGGCCAGGCCATGTGCCTGGCCTGAGCTCACACTCCCTTGTAGTGCATGTACCAAGTATTCCTCCACAGGAAACTTCTCATGGACATCACGAGATGGGTAGCTAGATTCCAGATGTGAGCTGCTCAGGGGCTTCTGACTGTTTCCAAAGGCCAGCTTGCTCAGGTGTGGGCCAGGGAGGGGCTGCTGGCTACTTACGCCAGCTAGTTTGTCAAGGAAAGATTCCAGAGGATGGGGTTTCCAGGGTTTGAGAGGGTGGAATGGGAAAGGATGGGGCAGTCCGCTATAGGGGAAAGGGTGAGTGGAATGGGGCAGGGGGCCTATGTCCTGGGGGTGGTGGAGTTTCCACACATGGTTTAGACACTGCAAGGGGCTGATCAGTTTGTGGAGTTCCGGTCGAGGCAGCGCTGGCCGCAGGCCCTCTCCTCGTTTCTTAAAGCAGAGGTGACTAAAGCCTGGTTCTTTCAGAGGCTTAGTGAACTGGGGAACATTTCTGGCATAGAGGTTGCCTAATGGAGACTCATCTTCCTGCAGGGAAAACACAGGTGTCAGGATACACTGTCAGGGCCAAGGGACAAGCCCCATTCTAAATACCCCACGAGCTGGGCCTGGGTAGTGTGTAGAGGGTCTCACCTGTATTGGGACCGTGCAGCTCTCTTGCTCAGGGGTTCTGGGCAGGGGTTTGGCTAAGGCCACTCCTGCCTGGGCCAGGGACTTGGACTTCTTCTTCCGTTTCTTCCGGGCTTTGCTGCGACGCTTTCCCTTCCGGCACACTTGGGCCATTTTGCCCTCAGTTGCATGGGCCACATTGTTGGGGATTTGATCAAGACTCTCAGACTGACTGTCAAAAAAGGGGCATATCCACATTTTGAGCACACAAAAGCAGGAAGACAGAACAGTTCAGATAACTGTATGAGGACTCAGGCAGGCTCTAGCTTTGTCATTCTAGTCATGCGTTGCTTAATGACAGCAAATGCATGTGAGAAACGCAGTGATAGCTGAATTTATGTCAGCGTTTGAGTATACTAACAGAAACAGACAACTGCATGCCACTAGGCAATATGATCCTAAGGTACAACTATCATGGATGTGCCTATTGTTGATCAAAATGTCATTACATGGTACCTCTATACCTGCGTGCTGTGGGCAAGTTCCTAAACCCTAAGGATCTCAAGTTCTCTCATTTATGAAATGAGTATAGTATTTTCTGCCATGTGGGGTGGAGATGAGGCTTAAATGAAAACAGGTCATTTAAAAAGGCTTAGTAGGGCTGAGCATGGTGGTGTGTGCCTTTAGTCTCAGCACTCGGGAGGCAGAGGCAGGCGGATCTCTGTGCTCAAGGCCAGCTTGGTCTACATAGCAAGTTCCAGGCCAGCTGGGCTTATAGGGAGACCCTGTCTCAAAAAGACCAAAAAAAAGCCTTAGTGTTTGGTTCTTTGGCAGGCTGCCCATAGACTATGCCTGTTACCATGGGCTTGGGTAGACCCTCTCCCTCAGCTTTTCTCCAGGGGGTGGCAGAACCACAGTTCTCTTGTTGCTCCCTGAGCAAAGTGGCATGGAGGGGCCACTCTTGGGGTATGTATCCTCAGCTTGGATGGGTCAGAGTGGGTTTGTCACCTCCACCCTTAGTGGCTCTCGGAGCTACCTAGTTGCCATGGGAACATGGGGAGCTGCCAAATAGATCCCCTTTCTGGCTGGTGCTACCACCAAGGTTCTGCCAGGCTCCTAACCCTGACAGGTATTAAAAGTTCCAGGAGGTTTTGAAAGGGCTACTGTGAAATGGCTTGGGGGTTGACCACAGTCTCAGCCACAGTCCCTTTGCATCGCTTTCTACCTCCACAAAGGTTCTTGGGATGCTGGGAGTTTGCAGGCTTCTCTTAGGCAGCCAAAAGAATAGAGTTCATCAGAAACACCCTTCTCTGGGCCAAAAGGTACCTAAGGCAACAATAAGGAATTTCCCAAACCATAAGCAGGACGGCCTGACCCATACCTTTTTTCACCAGTAGTTTCCAAATAAGAACGATCAAAGTCTGCCTGGTGGGAAGAGGGACCTGTGTCTAGGATAGACTCTCAGAGACTAAAACTCATCTTTGGGGAAGGGGAGCCTGAGGACAGACTTGGCCTGGCCCTAGCTCCCTTCCTTGGGCCAGGCTCTGAATAAGGCCCTTCAGGGTTCTTCACCATGGGACAATGAGAATGGTCCCTCTGGCCTGCCCTCATGGCTACATACCAGTGACAAGTAGCTGTTGTTCCCGGCACCCTTCCTGATGATGGGAAAACAGGTGTATCAAGGACTCGGAGGAGAATAAAAATAAAATGTCCAGTTGACAGGAGCCAGGGGCAGCTTCTGAAAAGCTGACTTGGCTGAGAGAGTAGCCGGGCCAGGAAAGCTGGGCGGCTGCCAGGAGCAGAACCCAGGTGCTTAAGCAGGGAGCCAGGGCCTGGTGGGAGCGGTCTCGGCAGGCAGCTGGAGGATGGGCATTGTGTCAGATCCCTACTTCCCGCTCCAGCTTGCCTTCTTACCTGTACTGCTGCGATCCTGCGATGAAAATGCGCTCTGAAAAGGTAGGGCTGAACTCTTGGCTATTCTCACCTTTAATTCAAGGAAAAGGGGTCAGATTAGCAGGAGGAAGAGAAAGCTGAAGAATTCAGCATTTAGCAGAGAGCTAATCTTTCCCATGGGCCAATCTTTCCCTGTCAGACTCCTCTGCCTGGTAGCTTATCTCCCAGTCACCACCTTGTCTCTCACTCAGGGTCACCCTCTCCCCGGCTTACTAGTCAAGAACAGAGGGGGCTATCCTTAAGATAGGGATCACAGGGAGCCCGCTTGCCTCACAAGAATACTTTTAGAATAGTCCACATATCACAGGGCACATAGTGACCCTTTGATAAACATAAGTGACTATATATTTATGCCTAAATGTCTTTGTGTATCTACCTTGTTTTAATTGTTTTCTCATCTCCTAAAAGTCAACCAGAATGCTGGGGGGGCAAAGCAGAGGATGTGGACCCAGGAAGGGATGGGGGGAATGCCACTGTGTCATGAGCTATCAGGTTCTCCAGGTTCTAGCCCGAGATACCTGAGCTGGAGGGTGGTCCTGGGGACAGAGGAGGACTCTGGTGCTTCCCAGCCCTTCTGGGAGCACCTGTCTTCCAGGCAGCCATCAATACCTGTCTTCTTGAGGCATCAGGAACAAAAGTGGAAAGAGCCAGGCTTGGCCTCGCCCTGCTGAGGCTGGCTGCCCAAAGATTGGCCCAGCAGGCCCAAGAGCAGGGTGCTTATTTTGGGGTGTGGGGCAACTGGCAGAGGGGCAATGAAGGGCCTGTAGGCCCCAGTGGGGCTTTCTAGGAGACATGGCCTTTCCTATCTGGGCCTCTCCAGATGCTGTTGGTCAATGTCACAACAGAAGGTAAAGGGCCAGCCTGATGTTCCTGTGGAGTCCTTAAGCATTCTTGCCTCTTTCTTTGCTTTGACAATGGCACAGCCTCCATTTGCCATGTTCCCCATGGTCCATCTTGGCATTTTTATAGCTCCCACTTATATAGTCTGGGATATACAACTGTATTCGGTGAGCATCTTATATAGATTACTCTGACCTCTCTTGTCCACAGGGGACTCCAAGGCTGGTCTCCCTCATGCAGACACACACCTGCAGGCCCATTCACCTCCCCCTGTGCCCACAGCAATCCCAGGCCCTTACATTCAGCCTGGGCAATGATGGAGATTGCGGAAGGCCCGCCCTCAGAACCTTCCTTCGCTGTGCCTTTGGTAATCACGTCATTCAGGACCTCCCACTTCCCACAGAACACAGGGCTCTTCTCCACAGCCTCAAGTTTGTAGATGCAGCTCTGCTTCTTTCCTAGTGATGGTGTCTTCTCCTTGGCTTTGGTGAGCTCTTTCTGCTGCCCAACAGCTGAGCAAGGGGCGCCTGGGCAGGCCACTTCCATCACTGCCATCTCCCAGGCTCGTGCTCATCCTGAGGGGCCAGACAAGAGCAGGTCACTTCAAATCCCAAACCATGTGGTGGGGCACAGATAAGGATTGGGTTGGAGGAGAAATACTAATGGTTAAAGGTCCCTGGCTCTTTATGTCACGTGCCATGTGTCATCTCTGAAACACCCTGAGTGGTACAGAAGCCAACTATGCAACATCTATACATAGGCCATCTGTGGGACTCCTGGCCTGCTGGCACTGCAGTAGAAATGGACTCTTCTGCTGGGCCTTCAGGGGGATGGGAGACATTTTCTTCAGTGATGTAGCCACTAGTAAATTGCCCGTGGTCCCATAAATAACCCCCCACTCAAGCTCATGCAACACACACACACACACACACACACACACGCACGCACGCACGAAAGTAGGAGGAGGACTCATCAGGAAGAAGGGGTTCATTTCATGGGAGGGGGAGGGGGATTAAAGAGAGTCACGGGAGTGAATATGATCAAAACATATATTCACATGTATGAAATTATCAAAGAATAAATGAAAATAACAACAACAAAAAAAAGACTCCAGCCTTCTCCCTCCAGCCAGAAATGACACACAGAACTGGTCTTTTCTTGACTTTACAATGGCTCAGCCTCTTCTGTTGTTTGGAAAACTTTCCCCACCAGGACAGTGGTGTGTCCCTCATCCTCCATGTACACCTTCCTTTATAGAGGACGTGTCTACACTGCCCACGGCAGTTCCTCTCTAATGGAGAAAAGGTTTTGCTTTGTTGTTCTTAACATGGGTAGGTAGATACATGCATAGCCATATATCACCTAATGATGGTGATACATTCTGAGAAATGTGTCATTAGGAGATTTTAGCATTGTGTCAGTATCACGAGTGTATTAGGACATCATTAGGTGACACAGTCTTACAGGGTCAGTGGCACATGCAGTGCATTGTTGATGGAAATGCTGTCATGAAGTGTGTAAGCATATACGTACACGTACACACACACACACACACACACACACACATATATACACATATATGCTACAAAGCCTACTACTTAGCCTACAAATGGCACTCAGCATTTGGCTCCTTTCCCACGACGCACTGTTTTGTGGCTCTCTAGAAGGCTCAGAAATGTTTCCTCCTCAAACATCCAAACTCGTTTGCTGAAAACTTCTAGGTATTTTCTTTCCGGCAATGTTAGCAGCATTTGTACTGAAGACTCAACATTAACCAGCACCTCTAGAAATCTAAGCACAAAGATGTGACACCAACTCTCTCTGGGGTCCATCTGGATCAGCCCTGTGCTTCCCAAGGAAGCTGAAGAGAGAGCAGCCACACACTGCTGTCAATCTATACCAACAGCACAGACTCCAGAATCGTCATGAGAGAAACAGAAGCAGCCTGAGATCGCTGGCATTTGGAACACTTTTTAAAGACAAAGACTTTGTTTCTGTGATGCTGTGGATTGAACTCAGGACCTTCAGCATGTTGGATGTGTGTCCCTCCATCCAAGACAGGGACTTTTTAAAAAGCAGGGTGTGACTTGCTTTAGACAAGGTACCAAATGTAGCCAGAGCTTTAATAATTGCTCTGGAAAGGCAGGTCAGTCTTAAAACTGTTACTCACAGATGAAGTCTTCCCTTCTGTAACCCCATTAAACCTGGGTCACGCCTATTTGCTCTTGGAACAGAAATGCAGACCAAATGAAGCGAAACTTCTAAGGCCCCTGGCCTTTTGCCCAGTCAAGCCTGGAGATTAAATGAGATGGGGGAAGATGAGAATACTAGGCTCAAGCTTCTTCCTACTGAGTCTGCCTCACTCACCTTCATGCCAATGGCTATGAAAGGCTGAGTCAGCTCAGCTGGAAGGTGGGGTGGGGCTTGTTGGACTCTGTTCTTTGCATCTCTGCCTTCAAGTACCTGCTAGCTCTGAAATCAGCAGCTCCAGCCTCCAGCAGGGATTTCTGTTTCTGGAGGCTAGAATGGACAATTTGTTGCTTAAGGGGTGCTCTGACTTCCAGTTGGACAAAAGGCCTCTAGGAAGGAGTAGGTTGTTCTTGTAATGACTTTTCATCCCCCACACACCTCCCCTAACCCTACGACTGCTGAGAACAGACTCAACCCTATCCATCTCAGTCTTTTTTTAATTGTTATTTTTATTTTATGTGTATGAGTGTATTGCACACATGTATGTGAGTGCACCTGTGTCGTGCAATGCTGCACAAGTCAGAAGAGAGTTTCAGATTCCCCTGGAACTGGAGTTAAGGACTGTTTGTAGCTGCGATGTGGGTGTTGGGAATTGAACCTGGGTCCTCTGCAAGAGCAGTCAGTGCTCTTAACTGCTGAGCCATCTCTCCAGCCCCCCTTCTCACTCTTTTAACTAGGGAAAAATGCAATCTTAAAACCCAAAAAAACTCCCCAAACCTAACAGAAGTAGGGGTGCTTACAGGGAGTTTACAGTTACTTTAATCTCCTTATTTGCCTGTGAAGAACCTGAAGTCTACCTAAGTGGATCACTGCCCAAGGTCACTCTGCCCACCATGGCAGAGCAGGGGCAGGATGCAGACCCCAGGCTCTTCAGGCTGGATGCCCACTCAAATTTCCTGGGTCACAGGTGAGCATGAGGAAAAGCATGATCTTCCATGGCTGGAAGGCTCCTGAGTAGAGGGGACCCTGCACATTGTTGCATCTTAGTATACAGGACAGCAAGAAAAAAGCCAAGCTGATTAATTTTGGCTTAACGAGGGGATCAAAGGACCAAAAGAGCTTTCCCAGACCTTCAGAGACAACATGATCCTGAGCGCCAAGGATGAGAAGCCCAGCTGAAGAATGAGGAAGACGAGGAGTGTGGTGCCGAGTTGCACTGCTTAGATAGCCTGCCTTTGCCTTGTGTGAGCCAATTAAGTGTTGTAGAAAGTTTACCCTGAGCTAGAACTTCTTTTGAGGCTACAGGGCACTCCCCCAGCCCAGGAGCCTTGATCTTCAGAGATACACATACCAATCTTTCCCCTGGGAAGAAGATGAGGTCGAGGCCTCCTATATACTCCCCAGTGACTCATCCTCAGTTTGGCAGAATGACAAGGAGGCTACTGAGAAGCTGACCCAGCAGATGGTGGCTGGAACCGAGAAGGGCAGAGGAAAAACAGGCTGACCCCCACCCTCCCAGATGCAGTCACGGCTGGCAGTGCAAAGCCTCTCCTGTAGTTGGCTTTCCTGTGCCACATGACCATGACTCTGACCCTTACCAGTAGCCTCCAAGTTCAAAAGGCTGATCTCAGGACACTTCGGCCTGATGGCTCTCCCGCATACAGGTACAGGCTTGCTTCCTCCCTCCGTCCTCACTTCTACATGTGTCTGGTCCACAAAGCTCAGGGTTCAGAATCAATCCAAGGACCCCTACACAGGTGGTCTTCCCAGGTTGCACACCCACCCCCACCCCAAGGCCTGAAGTTTTGTCTTCTCTCTCTCCTGCAGTTTGTGGAGAATGGGGACTGACTTAGGAGCCAGTTATGTCGCTGCCTTTGAAGGGTGGTGGCGACCCTACTTCACTGCTCAATCCCGACCCTGTCCCCAGCTCCACCACAGCCTCCTGCTATCTGCATTGTACTGAAGCCAGGGATGAGAGCCAAGGCAAGATCCATACCCAGAGTCTCCACAAACAGAGAAAAGGCAGGTTCACTCAGCATTCTTTCAGACCCGATGCATAAACATTGCCTGATCTCCTCTTGCCGTGCCTTGATGACCCTGAAGGAGTCTAGGGGCAGAAGTGACTGGGGTGCTACCAAATCAACCCCAGACCGTAAGAGCAGTTCTTAGTTTGGGTTCCAAGAGTTCTGTGAGCCCTGGGAGAGATATGCTATTTGTATTTTTCCAGGGAATGGGTCCACAGCATTTGCTGCATTCTCAAAGGGTATACTATGCTCTCGGATGTTGCTCCAGCCTCCCTAGAAGGACAGGGCTAGGGCTCCATGACTAATTCTGCCTCTGCTCCCCCCACCTGCCCCCAAGAAAAGCTTTCTATTACAAGTTACAGACACCAGATAAGTTCTTAAAATGCACTCACCCAAGATGTACTGAATCAGTGGCTGGGCACTGGGCCCAGAATATGATTTTCTTTTGGCTTTTTTGTCTTTAGTGATGTTGGTGACTGAACCCATTGCCTTATGTGTGCTCAGTGCTCTATCACTGAGATACATTACACTCCCAGACCTTTTTAAAAACAGCTAGAGGTCAGCGAGGCAGCTCAATGAATAAGGCAGTTGCTGCCAAGTCTGACAACCTATGTTCAGTCTCTGGAATTCACCTGGTGGAAAGAGAGAGCCAACTTTGACCTCTGACCTCCATACATGGTGACATGCTCCCTTCCCCATGAAAATAAAGTAAATAAATATAAAAACTCCCAAATAAAAAAACCCTATTTTTTTTCAAGGTAGGGTCAAGGCTGGCCTCCTGAGTAGTAACCAGGTACTACCATGTCCTGCCAGAATCTGTACTTTTGACAAACTTTTGGCATGGATTCTGATGCCAAGGGCCATCTGACACCTCTTTATATTCTAAGGCACTCTCCAAATGGTAGCCACAAGCGACATGTGGCCAATAACAACTAAAATAAAATTTAAAAACGAGTTCCTCTATTATCCTAACTACCGTACTAGACAGCACAGAAAGAAAACATTTCCACGGTGGCAGGAAGTTCTGCTGCACAGTGCTGGCCTAAGGCTATGGCAGAGTGTTTTTTCTAATAGCTTAATTACTTTTCTCAAAAATTTATTTATTATTATTTTTTAATTATTTTATGTGTGTGGATGTATTGCCTGAATGTGTGTAAGTGCACCCATGTCATGCAATGCCCGTAGAGGTCAGAAGAGGGCGTCAGAGTCACGGACAGCTGTTAGCCACCATGTAGGTGCTGGGAATTGAAACTGAGTCCTCTGCAAAGGCAGTCAGTGCTCTTAACTGCTGAGCCACCTCTCTAGCCCCACAACTTGAACTCATAGAGATCTGCCTGCCTCTGCCTCCTGGGTGCTGGAAT